ACTAAAACAATGGAAAAACCCTTAAGATAACATGTAGAAAGAAAAAAACATATCTTAAGCGTGCAGAATAACATAAGTGGACTTTGAACGATGAATTGCCGCTTTGAACGATTACGTAATTATGGCATCCATAATTGTAATCGCGATTAGAAATTCGATTAATTGTGCAGCCCTACGACTGCTGAGGAGTATAAATAAACAGTAAGCAGCCCTGGGTCCACAACACATGCTGGGAATAGTGACAGTAAACTGGGTACGAACACTAAGAACAGATTAGGCAAAGCCTTTATTAGCCAGGGATTCCAGGTTCAAAGTCTGTTTATTTAGGGACTCCTCCTACTGCAAACAAGATCCTGACCCTAAAGTTCAAAAGAGAGGATGGAGGGTTAAGGCTGATGTGGAGAAACCTCAACACATTCAAGCTACAAAATTTTGTGGGATGCTTTAAACCTTCATTAAACACAAACACACTTTTTCACAGCTGTTAGAGTCTAAAACACAGACAAAGACACGTGTGTGGCGAGAAGGGTTAGACGCACAGATTTTCAACCTAAGTTTAAACATTTGCATACGGCACAGTTCTGAACCAAACGCTTTGCATTTCAGTGTTACCAAGGACAGGCTCTGCCTTCAGGATGACATTTCGTGCCACGCAGATTCTGGGCTTTTCCAGCCCTGCATACAACTAGACACTAAGCAGGCTACAAGTGTTCACTCAAAACCTGGATATTTGAAAGGCAAATTGGTTCCTGTGCTGACCTACTAATGTGCTATTAGCGTCTACATTTTTTCTTGCTTCTCAACCCAACAAAATCTTTTCAAACTCAAAGCAATAACATGGAGAATAGAAATTCAGCTTCTGTGACACTATTCTTGTGTAACATCTGGTGATCAATTACTCAAATGTCAGCAAATGGCCACAGAAAGTTCTGATTTGACATTTCTGATGAAATGGTTTGACCTTATTGCGTAAACTGGTTACCTGAAACTGAACTGAACTGGATGATCACATCACTGAATTGAATGATGAACTGCCTTTAACTGAAGATTGAGTGTTTACTATTGTCATTTTGCATTATTGACACACTAGTTTCCTATTTAATACTGTAAAGTTGCTTTGACACAATCTGTATTGTTAAAAGCGCTATATAAAAAAAGGTGACTTGACTTGGTCATAATGAAGCATGAACATAGTGAGTCTTATTTAGATCATTATTCTTAAAAAGCAAAATCGTGTTTGTTTTCTATTACGATATTTTCCAGAAAGCCAGAAATGTATGTAATCACATATGTATCTAACCGAAAACACTGTCTGAAATCGGTTTCGAATTAAAAAGTGTTCAATAGAGTTTCAGTCTAACATGTCATAGCCGAAGTTAGAAGGATTTAATTTTTCACAAAAATGAAAACCAAATTGTGACAGGTGTAAAGTCTGTTCAACAGGCTGTAAAGTAACTTCACTGTTGATCATTCAGCAGACGTAAAACTGAAAATATGTCTTTCCAAAACAAACAAAAAATCCTGATGACAAACTTCTGGGAAAATGTGTTGTGAAAATTACACAGTATTGCACAGACTCTATGTATAATGATTATATTATAATGAAAATACTAAGTATTAATATTAAATACCCCTGACTTAAGGTCTATTGCCTGTAAAGCATTAGCTGATGCTAAGACATAGCATAACTAAAACCACTACTGCATGCTAATTCTCATGGTTTTCTCTAGGAAAGTTCTCAAAACTGATCCAAACAGGTAATGTGAAGCATGTGTGTTTCAATTTACTCCATATTATTTATACCACAAATAATGATAAGCCCCTGCAAAGACTGGCTGACAGAAGCACATTGGTATAAAGCAAACCTGATTTCAAAATCCAGCAGAGACAAAAAAAGAAAAACTGATAAAAATTGAATGATGCTGAGTCTGACCTCATACACTAGGTGTGTAGACAAAAAAAAATATAATATTTTACATGTATGAGCCAGAATCAAGGGTGACTCCCACCTTCACAGTTACAGGCATGGCTGATCTCCAAAACAACCACAGCTTTACCCAGACACAGTTTAAGCTGCTGGAAATACTAAATGATTTAATGAGCAATTTGACTGATTAATAGTCGAAAAGCAATCACCTGCATTGCAAAAGTCTGTATTAATATTTATAATATAAATGGGGATGTCCTACTTTTAGTTGCAATGGGTGCAACAGGATACTTTATTGCCAATTCAAAAGGACTCGTGCCAAGATTATAAAACAACTTTAATTCAATTTAGTGGCACAGTTAAAAATAAAGCTGTTTGAAAAGTTGGGGTTGACGATCCACAAGTCGCTATCACGAATTACAGTGCAGGCAATCAATCAATCAACAAAACCTGGAACATCCGTCAGGCTGTCAAGAAATGCTTCACCAGTGGGAACCCATTACAATCAACTGTAATTACCTGTCTAGACACTTCATCCTCAAACTGAAATGAACTTACTTTTAATGATTCGTTCGGTGGTCGACAGGTTTTCTTTCGGCTCTTTAGTCGACATCTTCTCACAGTTCAATTAGCCAGCGAGCAAAGATATCCTCCGTGTTTGCTGCTGCGAGTCCGAGGAAGGAGAGATCGCAAAGCGGCCAGTGACTCCAAAGGGTCCGAGAACTGTTGAAATTCAGACCAGCGGGCAGGTTTAACGCACTAAAACAGCTAATTTAGTCAACACTGAACAACAGTTTGGTACACGGGTCACAGGGCAGCATAATAACATCGCCAGCAGACACACGACTCGAACGCTTGCCCTCGCTGACAGAAACACAACCACCGATCGTCGCTGATAAACTAACGTCAGTAGAATCGAGTCCGGTCTCGGGGTTTTCCTGCCGACATTGACCTATCTATCAGCTTTTCTCTCAGATACCTTGGGCTCGTAGCAACGGGAGCCAGCCACACAAAATGTTTAGAGTTTGGTGCGCAATCTTGAACGTTAATCCGATTTTCCACTTTTCAGAGTCAGAACGTCAACTCGCCAGTTTAGCTAGACTCTCATAAGAGAGTTCGGCATAATGATAACGTGCCGAACCGCGCCGATTTGTCTTAATAAACATATGTCCTGTCGTGTGAGAACAGCGATTGCGCGATCTACCCGCCCACTCGAGCTAACCATATGGCTAGCAGTAACTTCCAATCACACTCTCGCTCCCAGCTCCTCAGATTAAACGCTAATCTCTAACCCTCAAACGGATTTCCTGCAATATGGCGGAGCTGTGGCTCTCGACGCGCTGGTGTTGGCGTGACGTAGCACGTAAAATTTGACACGTGCGATGCAGATGGTTAAATGGGTCGTGCTGGAGGTCCCTCAGTTTGGATGGGCTGCTCTGAAAAAGAAAGCAGAAAAACTACAAGGTGAAAGCAGTCCATTAAAGTTAGTGTGACGTATATCTTTTAAAACCACACTGTAGGCCTGTTGCCACAAAGGATAAAGTTTTAGGGGGCATATTTAAAAAATTATTTAAAAAAATAATGTATGCATTTAGCAGACGCTTTGATCCAATGCAACTTACAGTGCATTGTCAAAGATGTGCTGACTGGAAACTATCATAGCATCACTGTTCATTTTTACTTTGTGTCAGCACACTTCAGGCCATGAATGGGTAACAAATCATCAAATGAGCATTTGCATGAGTGTTTGGATTTTTCTTGGGGTCAAAAGGTCATTTAAAGTGGTTTCTGTAGTGATCACCGTTTTTCGAACTGGGGTTGGGGGACACCCATGGGGAAGCAAGGGCTGCTGAAATGATTTAATGTATTATTATACATTTTTATTTATTTGTTATAAAATGTATTTTCTGGGCTGTCAAAGATAATGTGCACTGAAGAAATGGAGTATGTTTAACAATTTTTTTAATTTTTTTTTTACAATAAATTTTATTAAAAGTAAATCTTAAACTGGTCAAAATCAAACAATTGCATTCATTCTAATAATTTTTTTTCTCTACAACTAAATATCATCCTCATAATATTTTTGAGGATTTATTTTCAGTGTTAAAGCTGTGAATTATAAAATCAGCAACCTGGAATGCTTTTCATCTTTTTCGGCATTCAATTTTACCCATATATACTGGCTACCAATAGTTTACCTACTGTATATGCATAGTGGTTACTAAATATAGTGCAAAAACCACTACATTTACTGTATAAACCCTTAAGTTGTATAATCAATTAATTAGCATGAATATAATCACATCACTGCTATTTTTCCTCTATTCTAAGAGCATTAAAATATTCATAAAATTGAAAGCTTCAACTGCAAAATGAGGTGCAAAAAATTGTTCAACTAGGGGCCTCAGCAAACAAGCAGCTTTGTCATAATAATTACAGCAGAAATTCAAAATGTTGAGAGTATGACATTACTTTGTGTACTCACACTTGCATCCACCAGGGGGAGTCAAATTCTTTGTTAGGGCCTATTAGATTTATACAAAGAGCAGTATTTTATCTTCAATAATTAAAACGAACATAACCCTCATTCCTGAATAAAAGACATGGAAAGGTTGAACTCACAGGAAAGTGATGGGATATCATTTATTATCTTTAAAATAGAGATGTCAGTTCCATTGACCATGTCTACCACTTTGAACAGACATTACCTAGCACTTAGTATGCATATTTTACATTAGGAAAGTACAAAACAATTTTATTGCCAGCAAAAGCATTCAGCCGAGTTACCTTTTACAAACCTAGCGCTCATTATTATTTTTAAGACAAAGAAAGACCGTTTATTCACACAAACAAACAAACAAACTGTTTTCAAGGGTGGAAGCTGTTTTTTCCAGATGGTTGACAATCCTGACATAGTACATAATGGTTTTCACATGTATTTAGCCAATGTCTAGACATAATGCAGCCTGATTCATGAGGAACCCAGATAATTCCACCTCTTGATCTGGTGTTCATCAGCATCAACATAAAGCAGATATACCCAACCCAAGTCTGACAAACACGGAGTGATTTAATTCAAACAGAGCCTGCATACTAACATCATCTTGGTTCAGCTCATTAAATTAATGTAGTAGCACCAGTGATTAAAGAGCGGACTTCATCCAAACAACATTTCTATCATGTCAACTTCCTGAATCTGAGGCAACGTAATTATGGCTCTAACTGGTAAAACATAAACAACTGATATTTAGGTAAACAGCACTTGAAAAAGATGTTGAAAAAGAAATTTCTAATTGTTAAAGAAATCTGTTTTAGAACGGGAAGGCAAGGAGGAATACGAAGCACACACGCACGCACACACACACACACACACCTCACCACAGTGAACAAGTCTTCATCTTAATGCTCAGCATAGGCACAAAGTGGCTATTTCGGTGGCAAACACATGAAGAGACCAGAACATACATATTGAAAACAGATCCAGGGTGAAAACAAAAGGCATGAATGAAGGTTATACTACATATTAAGGACAGAAAACAAGATTTGATATGTAACAGACCTGATGGTGTAGGCAAGTCCAATTTTACCACTAAATTTCTGGGTTAAATGGTATGGCTATATTAGTTTGAATATATTAAATATCAATTAAAATGTGGGGCTTATGGAAAGGAAGCACATTTCCGATGAACATCTTCACACCAGATGGCAAAAATAAACACAAGGAGGATTATGGTGTTAGTTACAAACGTTAAAATGGTAAATTATGCATCAGCATCAGTTTAAGTATGCATGGTAATGACAGTACAAGCACGTATGCTTCACAAATGTTCGCACTTAAGCCTAAAAAACTAATTTGCAAATTTTTTCCCACACGTACTACCGTTCACTCACACTCCTTTCAAATTCTAGCCATTAAGCTCCTTTCAGCGAGAATTTGCTCGTATCTGAGACATAAGGCTCTCTCCATTGTAGCGCTAGCTCTGATCTCCCAATCTCATCCACCACATCAGTACCAAATGACTTCACCCACATTTAACTCAGTTTTGTATTAAATCTCCCTGTTTTTCTGCCACCAGCACAAAACTGGATCCACTGGAAAAACAAATAGCATCTTTGGCTGCAGGTCTGAGAAAACCTGAAGAGCAAAAATGGATTTGTTTCTTCCCCCCCTAAAAAACTCAGCACAGTTCGGTCTCAGTCTGTTTGCATAGGCTTTACGGTTTTGTTAAAGCAGCTTTTTCAGGTATGATAATGTCAGAAGATATTAAAGTGGTTGAACTGACATATTAGCATGAACTTGACAACTTAAATTAAAACATCAAATCGTAGCTCTTCATATCTGTCTAGACGACCTAACAGAACGCCTGTTTTTGAACTTTGATATCTTCATTATGTATGGAGGCCCCTGAGGCTCATGTGAACTTGTTTACTTGATCTAACGCTACTGAGAAGGGCAGAACGGGAACAGCATGACTCCATAACCAGCCATGACTGATCAAATACAAAAGTAATCTAAAGTGCAAACTGAAGATCCTGTTGCAGATGCCCCCTTGATTGCAGAAAAGTCTTGTTAATTTTACACTTGACAAGACTCCATCTTGGCGCACAATATTTCATAACATGCAGCTTGAAGGACCTACAAAAGGCTTGAATGAATGTCCAGTGTGCATTTCATTTTTTTTTCTCCATAGACCGTAATGTCCCTCGCTCACTGCATGATGAAGCCTGGCTGGGGTGCCATGCGTGGAGGGGGTCTCTGGGGCACAGGTGGGGCGTATTGCTGCATGTACATGTTGGGGTATCCCTGGTTAAGAATGGGTGGCGTGTTTCCTACTCTAGGGGGAATAGGGGGGTATGGAGAAGTGGGTGTGAATGGAGAGGCCGCAGCGAACGGAGAGGTAGGAGGGTAGGAGAAGGCTGCGGTGGGCTGAGCAGGAGGAGTTTGGGTGACTTTAACAGGGGGAAGAGGAGGAGCCCGCCGGGGCATCGGCATGGGGGAACCATTGACCTCTCTATGGAGAGCGGCTGGCCTGGAGGGAAGGTCCTGAGAGCGAGAGGGCTGAGGTGCAGCTGGGTCCATGTGGTGTCCCTTCAGCACCATTTCCTGGAGTTTCTCTATCTTGATTCTCCGCATGTGCGCCAGCTTCCTCTTACTCTGATACTCATCGATGAATGTGTCCAGGGGGGTTGCGCCATCGAGGAGCGAATCGGCCATGTTCTGATTTGAAAAAGAGAGAAATAATAGCATGATCATTGACTAATGAGTCCATCAGATGATGAACAATCCCCAGCAGATATCTAGTGCAACTTTAAAGGTGCCATAGAATGCATTGATACAATATTTTAAATTGTTCTCTGATATCTACATAGAAGGTATGTGGCTTAGGTAAGGGCAAAAAATCTCCAGAAACGGTTTTACATGTC